TTCTTGATTCTAAAGGAGTAGAAATAATATACAAAGAAGAAAGTATTCCTTCTCTAAGATTCCAAGAGAGCAGAACCAGAAACACAACTCTGTTGCAAGCCTAACATATGAAGGAAGACAAAGGCATCTTACAGTTAAAAAATGGCTGAGTCCAGGACAGGATTGCAGAAAAGGAAAGGACAAAGTTGCCTGCAAAAAGGCTTAATGTGCTACTGAGTGAATTGCTCAGCCATGTGGAGACTAATATATATGAGACCTATTATGGGTTGAATTGTGTCCCCCCAAAAGATGCTGAAGTACCAATCCCTAGTACCACAGGATAGGACCTTATTCAGAAACAGAGTCTCTGGAGAAAATCACATTAAGATATGTCTTTAGGGTAAGCCCAAATCCGATATGACTGATTTCCTTATGAAAATGGAAAATTTGGACACAGAGACAGGTACATCTTGTGAAGTTGAAGGTGAAATCTCAGTGATGCATCTACAAGTCAAGGGATGCCAAAGTTTGGTGGAAAACAACCAAAAGTTAGGGGAGAGGCATGGGACAGATTTTCCCTCACACCCTTCAGAAGGAACTAGCCCTTCTGAAATCTTGATCTCAGACTTTCAGATTCCGGAACTATGAAACAACACATACACACTAGTCACTCAGTCGTGTCCAACTCTTTGAAACCTCATGGACTGTATCCCACCAGGCTCCCATCCATGGAATTCTCCAGGCAAGAATACTGGTGTGGTCTGCCATTTCCTTTTCCAGGGGATTTTCCTGACCCAGGGATCGAACCCAGGTCTCCTGCATTGCAGGCAAATTGCTTACCATATAAGCCACTGTCTGCTGTCTGAGCCCCCAGTTTGTGGTGTTTTTCTACAGTAGCTCCAACAATCTGATACAGGATCCTAACTAGAGAAAAGAAATTGTTCTCAAAGTGTGGTTCCAAGACCAGCAGCATCAGAATCACCTGGAACTTGCTACAATAGCAAATTCCTGAGTCCTCCTCTATATCTGCTGAATCAGCAACCCTGGAGGTATTCTAAGGTGTCTTCTAGATTATCCTGATGCACTACAGTTTGAGAACCACAGCTCTGGAAAAAATTCCACATTCTTGGACAGTGGGAAGGACTCTGGAAAATGGGAATCTGAAACTGTTGGAATACACATAACAAAATTTACCATCTTAACCATTTTAAGAGTGTATTTCAGTGGTATTAATTACATTCTTACTGTTGTACCAACAGTGAGCTCAACAGTCAGCACTGTTTGTCTTGCAACACTGAAATTCTATTAAATAGAATTAAATAATAACTCTCCATTTTAATCCTCCTTCCAGTTCCCAGGAGCCACCATTCTACTTTCTGTCTCTATGATTTAAATACATTTAAGTATTTAAGCAAAATTGTACAGGATTTTTTCTTTTCATCACTGGCTTACATTAATTTACATGATGTCCTCAAGGTTCATCTATGTTGCAGCATTTCAGAATTTCCTTCCGTTTAAAGGTTGAGTAATATTCCACTGTCTGTATTACCATATTCTTGCTTATTCATTTACCTGTCAGTGGACATTTGGTTGTGTTCCTGTTTTGGCTACCATGCAGAATGCTTCTATGGACAAGATATACATATGTCTTCAAGAACTGCTTTCAATTCCTTGGGGTATATATCCAAAAGTGGAATTGCTATATCATATGGTAATTCTACCAATATTTTTTTGAGGAACTGCCATATTTTGTTCCATAGGGGCCACACCATGTAACATCCTCACCAACAGTGCATAAGGGTTCAATTTCTCCACATTCTTTTCATCACTTATTATTTTCTTCTTTTTTAATAAAGACCATCCTAAGGATATGAGGTGATATCTCATTATAGCTTTGATTAGCATTTTCCTAGTGATTAGTTGTGTAGGCCATCTTTTCTTGTGCTTGACTGGATTTTTATATCTTCTTTAGAGAAATGTCTATTCAAGTCCTATGCCCATCTTTGAATTGAGTTTGTTGTTGTTATTTCTATTATTAAGGAGTTCTCTATGTATATTGGACATTAATCTCAAGTCAACTATAAGATTTGTAAATATTTTTCACATTCTGCCTTTTTTTGCTCTGTTAACAGTCTAATAATATATAGTATTTTTAATTTTCATGAAGTGCAATTTGTCTACTTATTTTTTTGCCTGTGCCTTTAGTATTATATTCAAGAAATCATTGCCAAATTCAGCATTGTGAAGCTTTGGCCCTATAAACTCATATGCATCTCTCAGCACTCAGCTCAGAAGTGCTGTGGTCACCAGCCCTTATACTCCAGTAGAATTAGGTGTCATGTAACCCCTCAGTAATATTTCTGTTATACCTAAGATCCTTCATATTATACTTCTGTTTTTGTGTGAATGTCTGTCCTGCCAGACAGTGAACAAATCACAGGCAATCTTAGTGTCTCCCAGGCCAGCAGAGTGTAGCTGCTCCCTGCATGCTTGTTAAAGAGCAGGGAGGCACATGTGCACACAACTTCACATCTGCTTTGCACCATGGCTGGAAGGAGCCATGGGGACCAGGCTGTCACAGGGAGGAGGAATACACACGCGTTTGGCTCCAGACTCTTTATTCCCCACCTTCAGCCCCTTGGTGACTTGTTAAGACCAGCCTGGAGTCATGTGCTCAGAGCAGAATAACCAGCCCAATGGAGAGACAGGTTTATTTCTATTGTAATGGGTAATAGTTAGTTTATTTCAGTGAACCAGAAGTTGGCAGCATAATAGCCTTCATGGGGGATGCCACACACTCGTCACTGGCCATCAGACCTGAGGTTCTCCCTGCCAGGCAAGCTGCCTCATCTTGCCTGGAGAGAGACAAGCTGAGGAGGAAGAAGAGACAGGATCTCAGTGTCACGTGCCAGCAGCTAAGGACCCTTGTCTCAGACTGTACACTTGTGGAGGGATGGGTCCTAAGTAAACTTGCTTACTCTTGACAACTCAGGCCCTGAGCAGCCCAAGGGCTCCCTGCTCATCCTGCCTCTGGCCATGAGACATCCCACGGCGACTAGGAAAAACAGGAGTTGAGTGATCCCTGGCCTGGGCGGACACGGAGGCTGCCACAGGTAAGAGCTGAGTCCACCTGCCCTTGACATCAGCGCACATTGTGACTGACGACCAGAGAGAGAGCACCTGGTGGGGAGGAGGGTGGCCTGAGTGAGGCCAGGGGGAGTCCAGGATTCTTCCAGTAAGCCCCTACACGGTGAGAATCTGTGCAGACACTTCAGGAGTGAAGAGGTCAAGTTTTGCTCTGAAAAGCTAAACCTCAGATCAAAAATGACAACATCTTGTGTTTCTCAAGCAATCTCGGCTCCAAAAGTTTCCCACAGACTGCTCCTGCACACAAGCGTCACCCAGCTCAGGCAACTGAGCAGCTTATCCCAAGGCTGAGCATAAACAGTGGTGCTTCTGAAGCCCCAGCCCTTCCAGTTCAGTCCTCAAAGGTGCACGATGTCAGCGCCTGGACAGAGGGTCCTATAGCCCTGGCCCCAGAGACGCAGCAAGGAGTAAAGGAAGACCACATTCCCACACACATTCACACCATGGTCACACCACACTCACACACACGGACAATCAATCCGTAAGCGCCCAGGGGGCCCCTCAAGGGTTCACATGATCCACATTACACCTGGCCACTCTGCCTCCAGCACACAAGGCTCTGACTACGTTCTCGTTATTAAACACATGCACTAGACAAATCCACAGTGAATTCCTCTGAAAACAAGAGGCAGAAAACAGTATTAAGAAACGTGCTAGAAACAGCCTGTTTGGGTCACCTTAGAGATTCTCTGTGCCCAGTACTCCAGCCTGACTTGGAACCCATTCGCTCTGTAGACAATGGTGGTGCATCTGGCCTCAGTCTTGGAGTTTTCCCCACCCTGAGACCAAAAGCCAGTACTCAGAGAGGGCCCCTGGTCTGCCAGAGGCTTGAAAGGAGAAATTCACGTGTACTGGAAGAACATCACCAAACACCTACAAAGGCGCCATGACCATATTAGCAGGTTTACTCACTCTGATCCTGGCCACACTTTTCTTGTTCTCCTTTAAAGTCTCAGATTCTCAACAATAAATAATGACTGCTTTGTATTTTACATCAAAGGCTTAGCCCCCATGAAGGCTATTATGCTGCCCACTTCTGGTTCACTGAAATTAACTATTACCAATCACAGTAGAAATAAACCTGTCTCTCCATTGGGCTGGGTACTCTGCTGGTTACACATGACTCCAGGCTGGTCTTAGGAAGTTAGCAAGGGGCTGAAGGTGAGGAATAAAGAGTCTGAAGCCAAATTTCTTCATTCCAAACCATGACTCTCCCATATATACCCTGGGATGTGGGGCACATTCCTGAACCTCACAGTGCTTCAGCTTCCTCATCTACAAAATGGATCTGGTAAAAGCTCAGAGGTCAAGAGTAGATTAAAGGAGACAGTACACATAATATCCATAGAGGAGAATCAGGCTATAGTAAAATAAAGGTTACCCAACATAACTGAATTCTATGCCTTTTCTATTATGAGTTCAGAAGGGCAAAATGACTTGCGATAGCCAAGAGGTAAGTAAAAAGGTGCAGTTTTCTGGGCATCACAAAATCAGACCACAGGTATTGCCAGGCTGCAGTCAGTACCTTCCCCCCCACATTTCACAGGGAGTTTTCACGAGGTATAAGTAAGTCATTACGCGAGGACACTAGCTTTCATTCTTTGATACATGCTGCCATTCTTTGAGGGCAAAGGGGAAACAGTGCTTGCTCAGTAACTGATATCATTTCAAGACCAGTCAAAGTAAGATCTTTCCATTTTCCTGGATACAGCTCCCAACAGCCTAGGGCACAATATACGCTCTTACTCGTCCTCGGTCATGCTCGCTCTCTCCCCAACGCCCAGCCTCCACTGAATGCTCCTCTCTCGCGAATCTCTTCCCTGGCCTGGCTCAGAATTTCAGAGAGAAGAACAGGAGCCATCAGAGAATCTAGGTCAGGGGAACACGAACCATAGGACCACATGACCAGCCTTAGTCACTTCTTCAGTCTCTACACTCAGGAAACCACCCCCAGCCAGCAGCCCCATGTACCTGGGAGAACCAAGCAGATTCTGTCCCAGTCTCCGGAAGAAGCCAGTGTCAGTGTGGTACCTTAGCAGGGAGCTGTTCCTCCAGTGCTGCAGGGGGGACCTGTTGGGCACGTGCCAGATGCCCAGGTCCTGGGCCTGGATGTCGTAGTAGCCAGGGCTCTGCAGAGAGACCCACACTCAGCCTGACCAGCCCAGGAGGTGCCACCAGCCAAAGACCCACACACACAGCCCTCAGTGGAGCTGAGAGCTCAGGGCTCCAGGGGACAGGTGCCCAGCAGTGCTCAGAAACCCACCCTCCTCCAGTAGATAATGAGACCCCACCACCCAAATAGCCTTGGTTGGAGGAAGCTGTGACTCAAGACACGGACTTCTGTCCTTCTTCTCCAGCCCCACCTCCACATCCCCATCTCCCACCCTTTCTTCCACATGCTCTGCTCCAGCCACACCCCACTCCCCACCCTTTCCACCTGGGTGCTCAGTGCCACCCACCTTGTAGTCATCACTGGTGGCCGCCTCTGCAGACCCAAACGTGTTGTAATTGGCCCAGCTGCCGTCCCCCTCTGGGTAGTCAGCCCTGTTGCCCTGCTGACTGGACCAGCGATCGCCCACCGTGCGTTTCCCAAGCGTGTTATTCTCATGCAAACTGGCTACCAGGGTCCAGCCACCACCTTCATGTCACAGAAAGTCTGGTAGATGACACCATTCTCAGTGAGGAGGTGATACAGGCCATCTGCAGAGAGAACCAGTCAGAGACCCCCTGTCTGAGAGCACAGGGTCTATCTCAGGCCCAAAACAAAAATGATCCAGTGAACAAGAAACATGGCCAAAGGGTTCCTCTTCTGAGTCTTATCACTGAGTGTCCTTACTAGCACAAGAGGTTCCCTGAGTTCAGAAGACCATGCCCCATGACTGAGGCAGAGCATAGAATTATCAAAATTTCCAATGATATTCCTCAACAATTTAAACATTGAAACCCAGTAATTCCACTCCTGGATATATACCCAAGGCAATTTAAAACAGCAACTTACATGCTTGTACACCAGTGTTCACTGCAGCATTATTCACAACAGCCAAAAGAAGGTAACAACCCAAGAACCCACCAACAGATGAGTGGATAAACAAACCGTAGTGTGTACATACAATGGATAAGAAGGTGGACTTCCTGGCAGTACAGTGGATAAGGATCCACCTGCAGTACAGTGGATAAGGATCCACCTGCCAATATAGGGGACACAGATTCAATCCCTGGTCTGGGAAGATTCCATATGTTCTTGGTGGTATTCAGCCACTAAGTTTTGTCCAACTCTTTGTGACCCCATGGACTGCAGCACACCAGGCTTTCCTGTCCTTCACTATCTCCCAGAGCTGCTCAGACTCATGTCCACTGAGTCTGTGATGCCATCCAACCATCTCATCCTCTGTTGCTCCCTTCTCCTCCTGCCCTCAATCTTTCCCTGCATCAGGGTCTTTTCCAATGAGTCAGCTCTTCCCATTAGGTGGCCAAAGTATTGGAGCTTCAGCTTCAGCATCAGTCTTTTCAATGAATATTCAGGAATGATCTCCTTTAGGATTGACTGGCTTGATCTCCTTGCTGTCCAAGGGACTCTCAAAAGTCTTCTCCAACACCACAGTTTAAAAGCATCAAGATTCCACATACTACAGAGCAACTAGGCCCATGCGCCACAACTACTGAAGCCTATACACCTAGAGCCTGTGCTCCACAACAAAAGAAGCCACTGCAACAGAGAGTAGTCCCCACTTGCCACAACTAGAGAAAATTTGCTCAGCAACCGAGACCCAGCACAATCAAAAGTTGATAAACTATTTTTAAAAAGGAGTAAGGTTCTGACACTGCTACATGGATAAGCCTTGAAAACATGAAGTAAACTGAGACATTAAAGGCAAGTATTGGTGCCTCAGTCATGTCCGATTCTTTGTGACCCCATGGACTATATAGCCTGCCAGGCTCTTCTGTCCATGGAATTCTGCAGGCAACAATATGAAGTGGGTTGCCATTTCCCTCTCCAAATACTGCATTATTCCATATATATGAGGTACTTAGAAAGTCATAGCGACAGAAAGTAGAATAGAATTTAACAGGGACTGGGGGAGGAGAGGAATATGAAGTTATTGTGGATGAGTACAGAGTTTCTGTCTGAGGTGATGAAAAAGTATGGGAAATCGTGATGACAGCTGCACAACACTGTGTAGTCGATGCTACTTAACTGTACACTTAAAGTGATAAAATATCGATTTTTAAGCTATCTAACTTTTATCACAGTTTTTAAAAATCTCCTAGTGGGACTTCCCTGGTGGTCCAGTGGTTAAGAATCTGCCTACCGATGCAGGGGACACAGGTTTAATCCCTGGTTCAGGAAGATTTTACATGCCTCGGGACAACTAAGACCATGTGCCACAACTACTTAAGCTCCCATGCCCTAGACCTCATGCTCAACATGAGGAGCCACTGCAGTGAAAAACTCGTGCACCACAACTAGAGGGTGAGCCCCACTCACTGCAACTAGAGAAAGCCTTCACTCAGCAACAAAGACCCAAAAATAAATAAACTGGCAAAATTAAAAAAATTAACTCTCAGTGGACATAAACCTTACTGTCCTTCTGGGCTCAGGGTCAGCACTTCATCACCTACCACACGCACTGCAGCACCTCACTCTGATTTTCTTGTAGCTTCTGGGTAGAGATGGAGAGAAAAATGACAGGTCCATTTCTCTTTCCATGGCATAGGCATAACCAAAGTATTGACCCCAGCTAGATGATACACAGAGTTTTATTCTTACTACTGGTTTGACACAAAGCCCAGGCTCTCCTTGCTCCCACCCCAATCCCATTCCTCCACTGGAGCAAAGCCTCACTGCCTGGGATGTAAGGCCCTGCAGTATCCAGCATCCCACTGGCCCAGTGTCCATCACAGGCTTATTGCGCCCCTCCCTCCACATGACCTCATGCTTTTTCTGGGCCCTGCCCTGGGCACTGGGCTCTCAAAGAAATCATACATTCCCCCAAGGGTTTGCATCCACAGAAATATACGTTGAGAAGAATAAATTTAAAAAGAAAGACAAGCTGAGGAGAAAAAAATGAGAGAATCTGAGATGAGACTGTACTGGCTAGCCTGGGGACAGGGGATTGTCTGTGGAAAAGATGTCAGTGGTTACTCAGAGAAGGCCTCCTCGTCCTAGTGACACCTTAGCTAATCGTTAGAGAGTGACTTTACAGTAGAAAGAAAAGAGAATGCAAAGCCAGAAGCGTAGCATGCCCTCAGGCATGGGAAAAAAAAAAAATACAGCATAATCCACCTGTCAGGAAGTGTCAGTAGTTTAATGTGGCTGAAACAGGAGGTGTAAGGTAGGAAGTGGTGAGAGCAGGCCAACAGTCCAACAGAGGTATTAAATGAAGAACTTTCTGTGCTAGCCTAAATTTTAAAGAAATTGCAGACAATTCTAAAAGAATGGGGGGACAAAACATTCCAAGTTGTTTTGGTTTTGCTTTTTTCTTTGACGAAGAGAGGGCTGTGCTGGTCGTCATTGCTGCCTAGGCTTTTCTCCAGTAGCTGCAAGCGGGGGCTACTCTCTAGCTGCAGCGCTCGGGCTTCTCACTGTGGTGGCCTCTCTTGTGGAGCGCGGGATCTAGGGCACATGGGCCTCCGTAATTGCAGCACATGGGCTCACTACTTACACTCCTGGGCTCCACAGCACAGGCTCAATCGCTGTCGCACACGGGCTTCTTTTCTCCAAGGCATGTAGGATCTTCCTGGATCAGGGATCGAACCCATGTCTCCTGCATTGACAGGCAGTCCTTTACCACTGAGTCACCTGAGAAGATCATTCCAAGCTTTTGAGGTCAGAGGTATTCAATTATAAGTAGCTCAACACTTAGAGTTGAGATTCCTTGTGGTTATACCTAATATATCTGAGCCTGTTCACTCGTAACTAAAATGAAGCTAGTAAAGAGTGATTTGGTGAAGATCAAATTAGATGATACTTAGGAACATGCTTTGCTTCTTTCTAAAAATGCATAAATGACAATGAAGAGGAAGACAAATTTCTTAATGCCATTATTATGCTTGTTGTGGGGAAGAAGACTGGGAAGACAGGAGTCCTGGGCACAAAAACAGACCATTCAACTTCCTCTGAAAATTGCAAGATCAAGCCCACTGAAGTGGGGAGAGATTGGGAGGGGACACAGTTCTTAACACAGGCCTCTGAAGGCCACTCTGAGGGTCACACAAAGGCACACAGCTGGGACCCAGGACATGCCTCAACCAACACCCTACTGCTACAGGTTAGATCCCACCAGACACAAGAAATCAGCACTCAGCCTACAGACATCTCAAGTCTGCAGCATGAAGTGGCCTCTCTGCAGCTCAAAGACATCCCCTCTGCCTCAGAGACCCCAGGACCCTGGGGCAGCCCAGCCCAGTTCTGTTACTGACACTTAAGAGGAGAGCGGAGGAAGTGTTGCTCCAGGAGACAATCTCCTGCATCGCACCCTCTAGTGGCCAATATGAGAAATAGCAGGAAGCTGGGCTGGATCCCTGTAATCGAAGGAAGTGGAGAAGAGAATGGCAACCGACTCCAGTATTCTTGCCTGGAGAATCCCATGGACAGAGGAGCGTGGGCAGGCTACAGTCCATAGGGTCGCAAAGAGTCAGACACGACTAAGTGACTAACACGCACACACACTCTGAGGAAGACAAGATGCAAGTTACCTTCCTGATCATCTTTTTTCTCTCATCCTCTATGCCCAATTCCTATCGTCCTATAAAGACTCAAAGACTAAGGATCCTTTGTTCTCCACTTGTCTCTGAGCTGGAATCCAGACTCCCGCATTCACAGACCTTGTCTGAGTCTCAGCAGCACTCGCTTCTAGCACAGAGTCCCGCTCTTTCTCTCCACACCGGGGCCAAAAGCTGAGCACTGTACAGCCAGGTGGACACTGGGAGCTTTCTCTGCAGAAGCTCCACAGGCTCTCAAAGACACATGTTAAAGATCACTTCTTAGCACAGTGTTCAGATATGGGGATTTCATGGACCTGTGTATCTTC